CTGTCTGGGCAGATGGCACAGGGTAGGGAGGATGTTGTGTCAGAGTCCAGAACCGAAGACAGTGTTTGACGAGGAAGCCAGAATAGCAGCCAGGCACCTTGCCAAAAAGCTCAGTTAAGAGTCTGGGGTGGGGGTTGGGGGTTGGGGGGAGCAGCTCAGAGGGGTTTGGTGTGAGGGCTGTGACAGCAAAAGCAAGGATGAGGGTGAAGGGGACTCGTGGATGGAAAAGGAGGTGGGAGGAGACATAGCGGCCAGGTTTGCATAAGAGACCCCTGAGATGGGGGGAAGGACATGAGGAAGGTGTACAGGCATACCTCGTTTTATTGCCCTTTGCTTTGTCACATTTTTTACAAATTTAAGGTTTTTGGAAACCCTGCATGGAGCAAGTCTATCAGCGTCATGTTTCCAGCAGTATTTGCTCACTTTGTGTCTCTGTGTCACACTTTGGTAATTTTCTTAATACTTCAAACTGTTTCATTATTTGTTACGGTGATCTGTGATCAGTGATCTTTGCTGTTACTCTCGCAAAAAGATTACAACTCCCTGAAGGCTCACGATGTTTAGCATTTTTTTAGCAATAAAGTATTTTTTAATTAAGGTATGTACATTGTTTTTTTAGACGTAATGCTGTTGCACACTTACTAGACTACAGTATAGTATAAATGTAACTTGTATGTGCACTGAGAAACTAAAAGATTTGTGCGACTCACTTTATTGCAATATTCTCTCTGTTGCCATGGTCTGGAATTGAACCCGCAGTATCTCCGAGTTATGCCTGTACTTGCAGAGATACGAGACATCAGTATACAGGATGGGGGCACGTGGAGCAGTTCTGGCTGATGGACTCTTTGAAGCTGGAAGGGCAGTGCTCTGTTGGTCATGGAGGGCAGTGGGAGAGGGAGTAGGCTACAGCCAAGTAAGCTGATAATTGAGCAGACTGAGGCTCGGAATTCCTTGTGGCCCCAAGTCCTGTCCTGATGTGTGGATTTTCTCATTATGTAGAGCTAAGCCGCTGAGTATGGAAGTGGAATGAAGTAGACTGAGACTGTTTAACTGAAAGGCTACTTACAGGGGTCAGAGATGGCATGAGGATATGGCAGTGACCATGACAGACAGGTCCCTGCCTATAGGGACCAGACCACATTTTGCTAGAGGAAACAGGTGCATAATTAACAAGTGCATTCTAGCTTAGGATGAGCACCACGAGAAAGAAGAAAGTGAGAGTGTGCCCAGGCAAGGCCTCTGTGGTTGTGCTCGGGGAACAGAATGGAAGTGAGGATGGGGAAAGGTGGCAGAAGTCAGAGGTGGACCCTAGGGCATTGCGAGGCCCAAGGATGATGTGGGACACACAGCAAGAGTTAGGTTTAGAGTCTTGCTTAGGGCTGGAAGGGCATATAGGCAGGTTGGCCCAGAGCAGTTCTGTGGGGAGAAAGTGTGGCCATGTGACTCCTGCCCCTCCTAAAGTATGCTCCACTCAAACGTATGCCCCCCACCCCACTCAACCCAGGTACAATGGTCAGGCCTCAGTCCACATCCTGCTTGAGCCAGTAGCAGCATTTGGTGTGCTGATCCCTCCCTCTTTGAAGCACTTCCTTTGCTGGCTTCCAGCACCCCAGCCCTCTCCTCACCTCTGGCTGTGCCTCCTCACTGCCCCAGCCTGTCCGCTTTGGTGTGTCCCAGGGCCCTGGCCTTGACTTCTCTAATCTCCACTCACTCCCGAGTGCTCTTGTCTCACTTCCTGGCTCTAAACCCCATCTCTAATTCTGATAGCCCCACAATCACTAGCCAGGCTCTCATATCCTGCTGCCTGTTCGCCATCTCCACAAGCAAGTTGAAAGGGGAGGTTTTCTAAGAGGAATCTCAGGCTCAGCATGTTCCAAACTGAGTTCTTGACCTTCACCCCAAACTCGTTTCTCCCTCACCTTCACCATCTCAGTCAGTGACCATTTTATCCTTCCAGTTGTTCAGGCTCCACACCTCAAGAATTGTCCTTGACCCCCCCCCTTTTCTCTCTCATCCACCTCACCTATGTCAGCTAGTCCTATCTGTTCTAGCTTTAAAATTTTTAGCCCCTGAGAAATCCCTCATAGTGTACATATACTTGATTCTGTGAGTATAGGCCTTTATAATAATATATTGGTAATCTTTACAGCAATGTGGTGCACATAAGAAAAATAAGTGTGCAAAATATAATAGTTCTCCAGTATTTTAAATTTTGTGTGAGATGCAGAAAAATGAGGAATAGATTGGCATTTACGGTAGACTGAGTTTGAGTGAGCCACAAGCATGTCCTGCAGTAAAGGGACTGTAGGCCCTTTAGAAAAAATAATGTCCATTCTATAGGGTTCACTGGGCAAATATTGCAGGAGGAAGGCCCTCAGACCCAGCAACTGCTTATACGCGGGGAGGAAGGAAGGGCAGAGGGGAACCGGGGGCTTTGGAGTCCAGGAGGGGTGATCCTCACCAACTCTGATCGCTCCTTGGGACCAGGTGAAGCTTCAAGCTCTGAGGAAGAGCCTCCATCCCCAGAGGACAAAGAGAACCAGGCCCCTAAACGGGCTGGCCCACACCTGCGTTTCGAGATCAGCAGTGAGGATGGGTTCAGCGTGGAGGCCGAGAGCTTGGAGGGTGAGTTTGGGCGTAGCATTGACAGGGAGGGAAGGTGTCCCATAGAACACCATCCTGACAGCTCTGGCCCTGCCCTCTCCCCAGGGGCATGGAGAATTCTGATTGAGAAGGTGCAAGAGGCCCGAGGGCATGCCCGGCTCAGACATCTCTCCTTTAGTGGTAACTGAGGGGTTTCACAGGGATGCTGGGGGCCGGGATGACTCCCTGTTGGCAGGATGGGCCTCCGACATGACTTATGTGTCCTCACTTTTGACTCTCCCCAGGAATGAGTGGGGCAAGGCTCCTGGGCATCCACCACGATGCTGTCATCTTCCTGGCAGAGCAACTGCCCGGAGCTCAGCGCTGCCAGCACTATAAATTCCGCTACCACCAGCAGGGAGAGGGCCAGGAGGAGCCACCCCTGAATCCCCATGGGGCAGCCCGCGCTGAGGTCTATCTCCGGTGAGAGGTCTGGGGTGTGGTTCCTGAGTCGGGGTAGCCCTGTAGGAGTTCTCAAGGGTGGGAATTAAGTCTTTACAGATTAGAAACTGAGGTCTGAGGAGAAGATACTAGGCCACTCCAGAAGTTATTCCTAGAGTTCACATCAGAAGAATGAACCTCATCTGTTCCCCTTTTGCTGTCTTCAGTAGTAGCAGTATTGCTCCTACCCTACCAGCAGCAGGCCCAGGCCAAAGAATAGATGGGTAGCATCTTCTTGAAAGAATGGCTATGAACCTCCTTCCTTTCCTCCCTCCCACCTGCAGGAAGTGCACCTTTGACATGTTCAACTTCCTGGCCTCCCAGCACCGGGTGCTCCCTGAGGGAGCCACCTGTGATGAGGAAGAGGATGAGGTGCAGCTCAGGTCAACCAGGTATGGAGGGCAGGCCAGGGTACTGGGGATGGTCTGGAAAGGTCCAAAAGAGGGTGATGGGGGCAAGAGAGGTCATTCCTGGGTACCAACCTGTGTGATGCTGCCGTCCCCCACCAGACGCGCCACCAGTCTGGAGCTGCCCATGGCCATGCGCTTTCGCCACCTCAAGAAGACATCCAAAGAGGCTGTGGGTGTCTACAGGTCAGTGGGGTTGGGGGGAGGATGCCCCTTGGGTGGATGGACAGGTGCCCTAGTGTGGGACTACCTTGGTTCTGTCCCCCTGCCCCCTGACCTCCCCCTTGCCCATGCAACCCTGCAGATCTGCCATCCACGGGCGGGGCCTGTTCTGTAAACGCAACATTGATGCTGGCGAGATGGTCATTGAGTACTCTGGTATTGTCATTCGCTCTGTGCTGACTGACAAGCGGGAGAAGTTCTACGATGGGAAGGTAGGCTCTGCCAGGCCATGGGAATGAGACGGGTGAAACCGTGTGGTCCGCGGGAACAGAGCCCCTGACTGCCCCACCCTATCCCTGTAGGGCATTGGGTGCTACATGTTCCGCATGGATGACTTTGATGTGGTGGATGCCACCATGCACGGCAATGCCGCCCGCTTCATCAACCACTCGTGTGAGCCCAACTGCTTCTCTCGAGTCATCCACGTGGAGGGCCAGAAGCACATCGTCATCTTCGCCCTGCGCCGCATCCTGCGTGGCGAGGAGCTCACCTATGACTACAAGTTCCCCATTGAGGATGCCAGCAACAAGCTGCCCTGCAACTGTGGCGCCAAGCGCTGCCGTCGGTTCCTTAACTGAAGCTGTGGCTGCCTGCCACGCCCCCCGCTGCCATCTTGCCCCTCGTCCCTCCCAGAGCATCCCACCCCACCCTCATGTTCAGGGTGGATGTGGGCATGCAGGTGGCAAGGGCCCTGCCTCCACCCCTCCAGCCCACCCAGCAATCGCCCCCTTCTTTCCCTGGGGGCCCAGGATGTAGATATTGTACAAAAGTTTCTAAATCCCTTCTTTTCTATGCACTTTTTTATTTAAGAGGGTGGGATCCCAGGTGGGAACCCCCCACAATAAAGTCTGTCAATGTTTGGAGAGGTGGTCTCCCATTTGTATGGTGCTAGGGGCAGGTAGGAGCTTCTGTTCCTCTGCGCCCCACACTCATCCTGAGCCAGGGGAGGCGAGAGGGCATCGTTCAGAATTAGAACTGTGGGGGTCTCTTAAGGCTCAGAGCATAAATGTAACACCTATTCCAAGTTAGAACTCAGATGGGTCCCTATAGATGAACCCTCCCAAGGGTAGCAGGGCCATTTCTCAGAGGAGACCCTGGTTGCCCAGAGGTAACCCACATCTGGTCTTGTGTGTGTGGTGGGATTGGCCCATTGCCTGAATGGGGAGGGGAGTGCGAGGATGTCTGCTGGGTTTTGGCCCAATTAAGACTATTTTAAGAGGACCCGTGATGAGGCCCAGAGACAGCAGGCACTTACTTCAATGGAAACTTTATTTTTATCGGGTACTAGGCCAGGCAGGCCCCAGCTCAGCCAAGCTTGGACAGCCCCCGCAGTGCATCTGCCCGCCCTCTCTGGGCAGGTGTGTGCCAATCTGGCCCAGAGAGGCAGAGGGCTCCCTTGCCACCACCATCTCCATCAGGGCCCACCGAGGCCAGCGACTGGGCCGCAGGGAGTAGGCGGCAGTGGACCAGGCAGCAGGCAGTCCATATTTTGCAGCCAGGTGTTGAGTGCTGCCACAGGCTCTCCCCAAACCTGGCCCAGGCTCAGGATCCAGCAGCACCATCAGCTCCTCCAGCACCTCCAGCTCATCCAGGAGGCGAGACAGCGGCTGTGATTCCAGACTTGGCAGCTCTAGGAGACAAAGGGAGGGGTGAAGGGGAGGAAGTGCAAGCTTCCAGCCCACCTCCCCCGCTCCTTGGTGTATCCTCAACTAACCCCTGCCTAGGAGTGGAGGCAGAGGGACCTCCTTCCCTGAGTCCCCTGCCTCTGAAGCCTCCAGGGAGCCTGGAGGGGACAAGTGCAAGGAAAATAGGGTGTGGGTGTTGAGGTCGTTGCAAACCAAGCCAGGATGGGGGTGTTGGACCGCTTTCCCCTGGTGGTGGCGACGGCGGTGCCTTTGCAGGGCAAGCAGGAGGATTTCAGTTGAGGTCATGAGCAGAACCAGCACAGGTCAAAACTCCAACTTGGCCAGGCCTACTGAGGGACTTTGTGCTCAGATGTCCACAGGAGACTGGAAATCGCCGGTGAGCTGGGCTCCTGGGAACTAAGGACGCTCAGCTTTCCACGTGTCAGGGGGCAGGGCTCCTTGTTAGGGACCGGCTTCTGGAAATAAAGTGGGAAGCATGCCCTACTCCTGCCTTCTCAGCACAAACTTCCCATCCTTAAATCCCTCAATGGGGCCACATCTCCGCCTGATCCAGCCCTCCCCCC